AAAAATGAAACAACGTTACTTAGAAAACTAACGGCTTTTTACGAAATAAAATATCATGACAGACAGGAACCAACGACAACCACTGAACTACGGCTCATGACTTAGACAATGTACCGGAGTAAAACATTAAACATGTATGTGAGAACCCATTTACCCATTAACCTTTGACAGTGGTATAACGGCACAACATAAGAACAAACTATATAAACTCTTGTTTAATCAATCATTATTATATTTGTGTATGATGATAACGCTGTGTATCACACACTATAATCAGCATCCACTTCACAAGGTTTTTTTTCTGGGTATGAATTAAGTTTTATGATAAACTTGATGAAATTTGGATACTACGGAATCATATTTGGGACAAACTAGAATTAAAATTGGAATAGAAGTTTTGTTTCAAATTCGAAATTTTGACAAATCAAATCTTATTGAAACATCAAATTTTCAAAATTTTAGCTATTAGAAATTTTGAAATTTCGGCTTTTAGAAAGTTGAAAGTTTTGACTTTTTGAAAAGTCGAAATTTCAGCTTTATAAAGTCAAAATTTAGACTTTAAACTCAAATTTTCAAGTTTTAGAATCTGGAAATTTCAACTTCTCAGTAGCCAGAACTGCAGATCATATGTTTATTTTAAACTGTCTTATTAACAAATACTGTAATTCAAAAGAAGGTAGACTGTTTGCCTGTTTTGTTGATTTTCAGAAGGCTTTTGATACTGTTATACATACAGGGATCAAGATTAAACTACTAGATATTGGGGTTGTGTCTTATTTTTATAACATTATTAAAAGTATGTATGAAATTAGCAAATCATGTGTCAAAATTCAAAATCAAGTAAGTGATTTTTTCCCATTAGATATTGGAGTCAAACAAGGTGACAACCTCAGTCCTGATTTATTCAAGATATTCATAAATGATTTGCCCAGAGATACTTGTCAGATACTAGAGACCCAGTTAATGTCAATGACAAAGATCTACATTGTTTAATGTATGCGGATGATATTGTTTTATTATCTACATCAGCTGAAGGACTACGAGAAAAGCTGGGAATGCTTGATAAATTTTGCAAAGATTGGTGTCTCAATGTGAATACTAATAAGACAAAGGTGCTGATTTTCAACAAGGCAGACAGACATGTAAAACAGATATTCACATTTCAGAATATAAATCTGGAATGTGTTTCAAAATACAAATACCTAGGTTTATATTTAAGCTCATCTGGTTCATTCAGTTATGCTCAAAATGAACTATACAAAAAATCCCTGAAAGCTCATTTCAAATTAAGGAAAGATCTTTTATCACTTAATCCTGATGTAAAAACAAGTATTCATGTTTTTGACCACACTGTAAAACCTATTTTATTATATGGTAGCGAAATATGGGGGATGTTTAATTCTCTTTCCTCTAAATGTAAGAAGGAAGATATATCTTTTGAAAAATTATATTCAAGTTTACCCTGTGAGAAACTTCATATAAAATTTTGTAAATTTATACTTGGGGTACACAAGAAAACAACAAATGCTGCAGTGTTATCTGAACTTGGAAGATTTCCAATATATTTTAATATTATAAAAGGAATGTTATTGTACTGGTATAGATTAGAGAATTTAGGTAATAATTTTCCTCTATTAAAAGAGGCATATACACAATCAAAGACACTTCACCATATGAATATAACATCATGGTATGGTTCAATAAATGTTATTTTTAAAATACTTGGTATTGACTATACAAATGCCATAAATGCTCCATTTTGTGAATCCTTATACAAATTTAAGAAATATATACAAACCAAGCTATCAATATTGTTTATTAGCTGTTGGAAAAAACAAATAGATAAATTTTCAGACAGTAAACTGAAAACCTACCTTTTATATAAAACAAATTTTGGTTTTGAAAAATATCTAACATTGATCAAGAATTTTGAACTTAGAAGAAGTTTTACTAAATTACGTGTATCTTCTCATAGATTACAAATAGAATTAGGGAAAATATCAGGGTATTCCCCGAATTAACAGAATATGTAATAAATGTTCTTCCAATACTGTCGAAGATGAGGCTCATTTTCTATTTGATTGTAACAAATTTGAGGATGATAGAAATTGTATGTTAGCTAGTATTGCAAAATATAATTCTTATTTTAATCATATGAGCAGTCAAAGCAAAATTATCTGGTTATTTAGTGTAGAAAATGTTGAGTTACTTAAAATAATATGTAATTTTATATACAAACATCTTCCTTAGTGAAGATTAGTTAAAAGAAATCTATGTGTGTATATACATTTGATTGGACATAGAAAATTATATTCATCTGAATATCACAAACATACTAGCCGATTAAAAAAAAATAATAATAATTGTTAAGATATATTATTTATTCAAATGTTCTCTTATATCCTTGAGGCATCGTCCCCTGGTATCAACTGCATTCAAGTTACCTATGATGCTTCCTTGTTTGCTTTTGATACAGGTAGGAAAGAGACATTTACACACATTTTACATGCCTATGGCCCATAAGGTATCGCCCCCTGGTGTCAGCTGCTTTTAGGAAACCATAATGCTTTCCTATTTGCTGCTGACACAGGATGAGTCATGGACATGCTTAATTTCTACTTTCTTTTTGGCTAATTATTATATGTTTAATTGATCCAACTTTTTGTGTACTATACATATATGGATATCTATTTTTCTTTTTTTTCTTTTTGGGCTACTTGTTTGTTATCTATATCAATCACACTTGCAATAAAATGCATTAGTATTAAAAAAAAAAACATACTATAGATTCTTTATCTACGTATTCTTTAAGAACTTAAATAGTTCTCGTTTAACTTTTTTTTTTTTTTATCTCATTGTTTGTATTGTATTATGAAAATTATTGATGTTGTAATGTTTATGCCCTTTGGGGCCCATAATTGGAAATAAAAAAATATCGTATATATATCTTATATATGTTTATATGTTCTAAAACTAGAAAACTGAGGAGCTCATGAGTCGTCCTGAATATGCATGGCATATTTTGCCACTTGATTTACCATTGTTTCAACAAGGCAAAGTCGTTGACCTGCTTTTGGGATACCGAACAGGACTTTTAACCCAATCATAAAACATAGGATGCAAAATGTCCTTAGATGTGACGACCCTATGACAGAGTCGTGGACACTAAAACATGGAATATGGGAAAATAACATTTTTTTTTCTGTCAACACGCATGCTCCTTCCGAATTAAACTCTTCAATCTTAAATGTTAATCCATATCATTATTAAAGAGAACAAAACTATTTCTGAATATAAATTGACAAAATGTTTGGATGACGCTTTATTTATTTATTTGCGTCCATGTCATCTCCTTCTAAAATTGTAATAGCTGTGTTTGAATACTTATATTAAAGTTGTAATACTTTTTTAAAAAAGTCGATATTTCAAGATTTCAAAAGTCAAAATTTCAGATTACAGTCAAAATTTCGAGATTTGAAAAGTCAAAAATTTGAGTTAAAGTCGAAATTTTTAGATTTGACATGTCAAAAGTTCGACTTCGAAACAAATGTGCCCATTTTATTTTTTTAACTATGTCCCTATATTTTTCTTATTGTTGATGGACGAACAGTTGTCTATAATTGCTTACACCCAATTCATTTGAACTTTGGTGGAATAGTTGTCTTATTGGCAATCATATATTACCACATAACACCTCCTTATTCTTTATATTGCTATAAAGAAATATCGTGTCACTGTACTACTAGTTTAACCTAAACACGTTTCAAATTTTTGACAGAAGAAACAAGGTAACTGTATGCATGGGACTAATAGTTTGTATGTTTGCTTAGTCCAGACTCCAGGTTACGGAAATCGTATTACAGATATTTGAAATGTAAAAAATGGAAGGGTTGAAATTCCGTGTCCTATTTGACTAACAAAAAAATACCTACAAATCGCTTATGTTGGCCCAAGTAAATAAATCGATCGAGAATTTAGTCAGTGGTAAACATGAATGTGACACTATGTTTTGAATTTTTCATGAACTTAAATATTGATATGAATAGATCTTTTCAAAGCTCTGATAGGGATAATGCAGAATATTTAACCACGTGGCTATCACCAGAAGAGTAAAAAAATTACATTCAGAGTGGTACACTGAATAAATTCCACAACGGCTTGCCATACGAAAGAGTTGCTTAGTCTATATGTTTGCCAAATATTGGTCAATGCTAATTTGTTTTGTTCCTAATACGCTTCCGTAGGATTGAGTCCATTCACATGGATCAAATTATAATTTGAAATTATTTTGGCAAATTTAATGCATGATTTTAAAAGAAAATTTAATTCAAAATTCAATATTTAATGGTTTATAATCATTAAATAGTTCGAACTTTCCTTAATTACTTGTCTGGGTCGATATAAGATGGTCCGAGTTGACTTAACATAGTCGGTCCAAAATTTCTCCGGACCGACTTGTCCAATAATCATCATTAAAGCGTTTGACAGATAAATGATTGGTTTGCCTTATATTAAACGCTAAGGTAACATTGATGTTGATTTTTTAATATTAAAAAATCAGCGTATTATTTAATATTAAAAATTCATTTATTAATATTAAAATATCAGACTGAATATTTAATATTAAAAAATGATTTTTTAATATTAATAAATGATTTTTTAATATTAAATATTCATTTATTAATATTAAAAAATGACAGTATTTTTTAATATTAAAAAATCGATTTATTAATATTAAAAAATGATTTTGTAATATTAAAAAATCATTTTTTAATATTAATAAATGATTTATTAATATTAATAAATAGGGAATAAATTCCACAACGGCTTGCCATATCTTCTCGCAGAACATACACAATATATACACAAAACATACACAAAATACTGATATTTATACAACATACCCGTATACATGTATATGTTTCCGTTTACTATGTCAATTAATTGATCGATTTTTTGGTGAATGCTTGAGGTATTCGAATTTCATAAACACAACTTACCATAACTGTCGTTTAATTTCAATATATAAATTGGTGGTCTGTCTAACATCTTTTCTCCTTTCGAGTTGAGCAATTCACGAATGTTATCTGCACCGTTGACAACAATCACCCAATATGTTCCAAGTGACATGCTAAAAATATCGCCATGTTTATTCCTGAGATCCCGTACTGCTCTAAGGAAATCTCCATCTGAGATGTTATAAAAGTTCCCTATTAGTGGAAGGGGTGTTGGACCTGGCGGATAACTGTTCGGTCTTCTAGATCTTATCCATAGCCATGTAAATAACCCCACAGTTATAAATATAAACAGCTCTAAATATGTCCATTGGATCATTGTGTCTATGAATTAAATAACAGTGTTATATAATTTTTTAACCTATTTCACCATGTTCTATAAATACACATACACTTTAAATAACCATACACATAGACTATACACAACTGGTTTTCTTATCTTTTCGTTGTGCGTCGCAGAATAGCTGTTTCGGAATTTGTGAAAATTATATAGAACCGTAATTTACGTTTTATTTACATTTATTCTTTATTGAGTTTTAGATATATCATTCCATAAACAACAGCGTATTTATGATGTTCTCAATATGTTATACATGTTATAAATTTAATCGAAATATGTTGTACATGTACTATATATACTGAGTGTACGAAACGGAAACGCAACACATCAAATCAAAGCGCCCTAGCTTTTGTCCCTTTTGAATTAAAATACAAAAATGTTCATACATTGCATTTCTTAAAAAAATGGCTACATATGGTACTCTGAAAAATGTCAATCTGCATTTCTTTTTTATAACCCTTGCTTCATCGGTTTATTTGCCATCGAAGGTGTAAAATAATTTATTTGTTTAAAAATGTTGATTTCGTAAACCGAAAAATCCAAAGCTCTGGAAATTGACGGAAAAGGTCTGTATTCATATCGCTAGAAGTCTTCAAATTTTAGAACGATAAGTCGACTTCCAATGAAAGATCTTTCGGCTAAAATTTGTATTACATGGAAAAATACATCTATTTGCGCTAAGTATTTAACACTGGTGTTAAACTGATAATCGTAACTGGAATTACGACATTCCCAATATGGCGACGGCAGAAATAGGTAAAATCTTTTCAGTCATTTTTCTCAAATGTAGCCCGTTGTTGTCAAGAGTTACTCAGCTGCAAGGTTTTTCTATACCATTACATCATATTTGAATCGTAACGGTGCACTATAATTGTCTAAGCGCTTAGAAAATTGCCGTCCAAAAATTCGGGATCCTAATCGTAACTCGCAAAAATGATAATCGTAATTTCGGTATTAATAAATAAGAAGATAATCGTAACTGGATAGTGTTTGATTAGTATTAACACGAAAAACGTATATCTAATAGCATATGATGAAAATAAGGTGATGAATTAATCAAGAAAACGTTCCCACATCTTATGACATTTCTTTTTGTGCATATATGATTAACAGTTCTAATGTAAACAGCTACATACTAGTATATATCATATTATGCACCAATACACATATATATGATATATTTGTGTTTTTTTTCAGTCTTTCAAATGCGTCGCAAGACTATACGCGCCATTTAGTTAAGGCTAATAAAAACAATAAACACAAGTAACAATAAACACAAGTAACAATAAACACAAGTAACAATAAACACATGGAACAATAAACACAAGGAACAATAAACACAAGTAACAATAAACACAAGGAACAATATACACAAGTAACAATAAACACAAGTAACAATAAACAACAGTAACAATAAACTGGTAACTATTCTAGATCCTTTACCATCCACCCTGTTTAAAGAAACGTCCTAAAATACATGGGTATTTAATCAAAATATTTGAATTTAATTTTTAAAATCATATAAAATATCAGTGTAAAACAGCTATTTTAACCGGGATACATTTCACTCCAAAATTAAACTATCTGTATTTCTATTGAAATATAAGGAAAAGGGCAAAATGAAAACTCATATCCACCAGAGACATATATGTCTCTGTATCCACCAATCAAAGTATCAACTGTTAAATCCAATAATGCAGTTAAGTAACTGATGGAAAATTTTGTTTATTTCTCGCAGAAATTTAGTATAAACGTTCAGTTTATAGCACCCCCCCCCCCCTCATTTCCCTTTTATATAATTTTTGGACCCATCCCCGAATATAAACAACAGGGAACTCAAAACTGACAGCGATCTTATGATAAATGAGTTCTGTATAAGGCACGGGGAAGGGGTGGTGTCACTTCTGGCGTGCTGCTGAAATTAAAAAAAAAATATTAGAAGACCAAAAATCTGATCCATGTTATAACTTATATATTTATATAGGAAGTAACCCTATATAGGGGAGGTTAACTTGCCCTTTTTATTGATTTAAAAGTCGATTGGATATATGCAATATTTGAGGCAAAACATATATATGGCATATTGGAATGTGGTATACGGGACTTTCATTTGAAAGGATTGCACTTTTGGGATATGGGATAATGCTATTACCCCCCCCCCCCTTTTTCCATACTTCCAAAAAAAAACCTAAACGCGAAAACAACACTGAAACTTTGAAAGAATTTAAATTATCTATTTACCACAATAACTGACTCGACAGCTGCTTCATTTTCCATATCTTTAACAGGTACATGTATATATTAAAAGGTTATGCATATTGTTGTCAGTTATACATGTAAGTAAATTTGTCCTAAATATTAACCTGTAAGTTGCTTCATTATTTTTTATTTTGCGCGTTAATGTCATCGTTTAACTGGACATTGCCGTTTTTACACACAAAATGCCATTGACAAGCTGAAAGACACATTTAATATTTTTCAGTTACTATTATACTATAAAGAAATTACGATTAGCAAACAAGAAAAATGCCATTGAATTACGATTATCATCCCGAATTTTTGGACGGCAATTTTCTAAGCGCTTAGACAATTATAGTGCACCGGTACGATTCAAATATGATGTAATGGTATAGAAAAACCTTGCAGCTGAGTAACTCTTGACAACAACGGGCTACATTTGAGAAAAATGACTGAAAAGGTTTTACCTATTTCTGCCGTCGCCATATTGGGAATGTCGTAATTCCAGTTACGATTATCAGTTTAACACCAGTGTTTAAAGCCCTCGGGGGAAAACAACCCTAAAACTTGTCAATTCTTGGTGTCCACTTTAGAATAAGGCTGTAATTGTATATTTACTCAGTATTTCAAAGTTGATCTCTTAATTTCAAATCAGTTATTTGATCGAATAAACATTTGTAAATATGTTTCTTACTGTTTTTTACAGTAAACTGTATCAAATACTGTCAGCTAATCCTTCAACGTATTTTGATATCCTTCTCTAAATACAGAAAACATTGTAAAGAGATCTTTGAATAATGTTTTTATTGGTTAAAATATTGATTTTGATATCTGTAAATTAAAAACCAAACTAAATATTATTGTTATAAACATATGCACATTCACGGTTCTACAATCTGTCGATACCTGTATATTGGCATTGTATATGGTCATTTTTTTCTCTGACTGTTAATGACGTCTTAAATTTACACTAAAACCATTGGATGTTGGATGTGTACTGATTGATATTTTAGTCTTAGATGCATTTTTTTTAGTTGATATTGGCTTTGAAATAGCTGCGAGTACTCTCAGATCTGTACTTAGTGTCTTTTTTTTTGTTGTGGAGTGGAGATGTATAAATACACTGCCACGTCTGGTCTGTTTTTGTCAGTTGTTTTCCTGCTTTGTCATGTTTGTATCGACCTGATGAGTTAAACCCTTTTCATCTAGTTTCTATAGTTTGTTCTTATGTTGTACTGTTATACCACTGTCCCAGGTTAAGGAGAGGGTTTGGCGCCAGCAAACTAGTAAAACCCCGCCACATGATGTATGTGCCTGTCCCGAGTCAGGAGCATGTAATTCAGTGGTATTTTAAAAATTTAGACGGGTCTCTACTGAGTTTGGCCATAAACTGTGATCATGACAGTACAGGATGACCACTTAGATATAAAAATCAAAGTAAATAGACAGACAAGCACGTGCATAACATGTATAAAATATGTAAATCATCATTTTACCTGTATCAGAAAGATGTTTTTGTAGGTAGAATCAGACAACATAACGGTTCTTCCTGGTGGCTTATTTTTTTCACTTTTCAATTTCAACATTCTTCACTTTTTAAAAAAATATGAACATGATGAGCATATACTCAACACACCTCCAACCAAAGGTCAAACTACAGTTTGCATGCATACGAATGCAGTGAGATCAAATTATTGTCTTGCAAGACAATAAAATGTAAGCGATGTTTTTGAGCTTATTTTTACCATATTGAACCAAACGTGTCTGTAATAATTTCGGTTTGTGACCTACTTTCAAAGGACGCTAACCTATAGTAACGGCATGCATGATGTCACAAATGTTTACTCTGATCGGACGAAATTACGGAATTGAACAAAAGCCAACAAAAAAAGATATATGCTACAATAAAAGAAAACATAACGGACATAAAAATCAAACTTAAAAATGAAATTTCTCCAGATAAATAAAAATAAATTCAGGTAAAGAAGGTACTTGCAAGTGCAGTCTAAAACTTCCAAGGATCTCAAAGAGTACAAAATATTATACTTAAAATAAAGATTATCGCAAATTTAATTACTTGTCAAACGCTGTAATATATAGATCATCTCCCTTTGGCGTCCGTCCGTCTCCGATATACACACCGAAATAGGTTGTATCTCTAATTGTAAAAGTTGTGCTTGACATATAGTTATAATTGACATTTCTTCGTGGTTCTAAACTGTTTCAAGTTTGTTATTCATTAAAGATTGTAACCTACTACTATCTTATGTTTATGTCTATTTCACAGCTATAGAAATTTCTGTATCTCTGAAAAATACCTATATGAGTACCATGCAGTGTATATTTTAATTCTTGAGAGAAAAGCGCATATACTCAACTTTTAGAGTCAGCCTTTTGCCGTCAAATTGTGTGCATTTTTTTTAACAATGATAAAAAAAAATGATAAAGATCAATGGTTTGTTTTAAACTGAATGAGTCAGATATCTTTTTAAAGATAGTAGTACTTGTTTAAAATTGTAGTTATCTCCCTGTCACCAATATAAATTTAATTTACATTGTTTCAGGAATACACATCCCTCGTGTATAGCTCTGATTGAATTCCTAGTCTGGGTCTGGCTATATTTTTGGTCCTTTTCTGTTATATTATACAGTTATTTAATATGTAACTATGCAATAGATCAAAATATATTTCCCGAGGTATGAAGATCAGCTCATTGTTCTATTGCCCGAAGCCAACGGCTGAGGGCAATACAACAATGAGCTGATCTTCATACCGAGGGAAATATATTTTGATCTATTGCACTGTTACACATTCAATAACTGTTTTATTACCTAAAACATACTGAGTCAGTTCTAACAAATTCTTAGAAAT